AACAAGTCGGGATCGGGGGGGTCGGTCTCATCCGGGGGCTCCGTGGTGGTCGCGGCTGCAAACGCTCGTGGGAGGCTGGCGGTAGTGCCCGGAGCTGCGGAGCTGGGCAGCAAGTTGGGATCAGCAGGCTCTGTGGTGGTGGGAGCGGCGGACACGGGCAACAGGATCATGCGGGTGCTGGGAGCCACAGAGCGGAGCTTGAAGTTGGGAGCGGGAGCATCCATGGTGGTCGGAGCGRCGGAGACGGGCAGGAGGCTGGAGCTGGTGCCGGGCACCGCGGAGTGGAGCGGGGAGTCGGGATTGGGAGCATCCATGGTGGTCGGAGCGGCAGACACGGGCCGGAGGCTGCTCTCGGTGCTGGACACCGCGGAGCGGAGCGGGGAGTCGCGGGGACCGGTGYCACTCGGGGGCCCCGCTGTGCCCAGGGCTGCAGGCACCGTCCTGGAGCCGCCCGTGGTGCCGGGCGCCGCCGAGCGCCACATCCAGCCCGGCTCGGAGGTCGCGCCGGGATACCCGGCCGTGGCCTCCTGCCTCTTCCTGCGGGAGGGCGGCGGGAGCTGCCCCCCTTCCTCCCGCCGCTCCTCCTTGGGGGCCGTTGCCCATTGCCAGCGCGGGCCGGGCGCCCGCTCCCTGCGCCCCGGCAGCCGCGCGGCCCCGGGCGCCCGCAGCGCCACCAGCAGCACGAGCAGCAGCAGCAGCAGCAGCAGCAACGCGGCCGCGCGCGGGGCCCCGGCTCCTGCGGGAGAGAGCGGCCGCACGGTGACACGCGGCCCTGCCGCGACAGGGGCCGCGGACGGAGGCAGCGGCGCCGGGAGCCTCCGCTCGGCACAACGGCCCCGCGGCTCCTCCGACGGCCCCACGCGCCTTCCGGCTCCCCTTCCTGCCCCGCTTCCCATCCCCGGAGCCTGCTCGTGCCCACAGAGCCTCCCCCGGGGTCGAGGCCGGCGAGGCGCCGCGCTCCCGCATCCCCCGGCCGCGCCGCCGCTGCCCGAGGGAGCCGCGTTGCTGCAGGACTCACCTCTCATCCCTGCGCGGCGGCCGCCGGGGCCGGCATGGGGGCCCGGACCCTCCGCCGCGGAGCCTCCCGGCCTCGCGCCCCGAGGGCGGCGGGTGGACAAGGCACTGGAGCAGCCGCGAGCTCCGGCTCTGCTGTGCCAGGACGCAACCAATGCACCGGGATGCAGCCAATGCACCGGGGTGCAATCAATGCACCGGGATGCAGCCAATGCACCGGGGTGCAATCAATGCACCGGGATGCAGCCAATGCACCGGGGTGCAACCAATGCACCGGGATGCAGCCAATGCACCGGGGTGCAACCAATGCACCAGGATGCAGCCAATGCAGCGGGATGCAGCCGATGCAGCGGGACGCAGCCGATGCAGCTGCTGCTCCGGGACGTGGCGGCCGCTGCCCAGGGCAGCGCGGGGGAAGCCGCGGGGCCGTCGAGGCGGCGCCGGGGCCGCGGGGCGTTGCCAGCGCGCGGGGAGCGACGGAAACCCCCGCCCCGACCGCAGGCGGCAGCGGGGAGCGCACCCGGGGCGGCTGCCGCGGGGCACATCCGCTCCCGGCCCGCGGAAACAGGGCACAGGCTGCGCCACGCAGCCCTGCCGCCCGCAGCGGGATGCTCCTGGTCCCGCAGCAGGGATGCATTCCCCAGAATAGGGATGCTCCTGGTCCCGCAGCAGGGATGCATTCCCCAGAATAGGGATGCACTAGGGCCTGCAGCAGGGATGCATTCACTGGAACAGGGATGCTCCCAGCCCTGTGGCAGGGATGCATTTCCCAGGGCAGGGATACATTCCCCGGAGCAGGGGTGCACTAGGGCCTGCAGCAGSGATGCATTCCCCAAAGCAGGGATGCTCCCAGCCCTATGGCACGGATGCATTCCCCACCGCAGGGATGCTCCTGGCTCTGCAGCAAGGATACATTCCCCAAAGCAGGGATGCTCCCAGCCCTGCAGCAGGGCTGCATTCCTTGGAGCAGGGATGCTCCCAGCCCTGCAGAAAGGATGCATTCCCCAGAATAGGGATGCTCCTGTCCTTGCAGCAGGGACGCATTCCCGGGAGCAGAGACACATTCCCTGGAGAAGCGATGCTCCTGTCCTTGCAGCAGGGACGCATTCCCAGGAGCAGGGGCACATTCCCAGGAGCAGGGCTGCTCCTGTCCTTGCAGCAGGGATGCATTCCCGGGAGCAGAGACACATTCCCAGGAGCAGGGCTGCTCCTGTCCTTGCAGCAGGGATGCATTCCCGGGAGCAGGGGCACATTCCCAGGAGCAGCGATGCCGGTGGTCCCGGCCACCTGTGCGGTGCCCGCGCGAGCCCAAGGAACACACGCACGAGCAGGTTGTAACCAACGACTTTTATCTGCGGCGCGGGGCCGCGGGTGCCGGCCAGCCGCGCCGGCCGCTCTATGAGAGCGTCGCTCCGGGCGCCGCGGGGCCCTCGCGGCTACAAAAAGCTTCAGGCACTGACTCCGCGCGAGCCCCGCCGGGCAGCAGCAGTTCATTAAATAAAACACGAGCTACAGACTACGGATCGCGGCCGACCTCCCGGAGCGGCCGCCGGGCCCGGCCGGCGCCTCCCGCGCCGGGGTTTGTTCCAAAAGAAAATACACATCAGCTCAGCCACTTACTGCAATACAGACACAGCACCAAACGTTCACGTTCCCGAGCGCCCGCGCGTGCCGGCGCCGCTCCCGTCCCCCCGAGACAACAGCCGCTTCTCCGCGTCTTCCTCGCCGCGGGTTTTGTCACCTTCTCGGCCCTCTGCGACGTGCTCTGCTGCCCTCCGGCTCTGCCATCCCTGCGCCCCCACGCAGGCACGTCCTGCAGCCGGGGCTCGTCCCGGGATGCTTTGGACGTGCAAACACTGGGAAAAGGGATCATTTGGGGGTCCTAATGGCAACCTAATGGTAAAGGTTGCTGGAGTTGTTCCCCTGCGTGCAGGCAGCCGAGCATGGGGATGCACCAGCTCCGAGTATGGGGATGCGTCTGCTCCAAGCATGAGGATGCATCAGGTCCAAACACAGGGATGCATCAGATCCAAACATAGGGATGCATCAGCTCTAAACATAGGGATGCATCAGTTCTAAACATAGGGATGCATCAGGTCCAAGCATGGGAATGCATCAGCTCCAAAGCATGGGAATGCGCCTGCTCCAAGCATGGGGAGGCATCAGCTCCGAGCCAATCCCAGGACTCAATCCCACTGGGAAAGGCTGCTTTCGGCTCGAGGGCTGATGCTCTCCAGGCTTCCCCGTGGCTTTGCCCACGCCCGGGTGTGGGATGGGGCTGGCCAAGGTGGGAAGCGGCGCTTCCCCCCACCCGGCACGGCCGCCCCTCGGGATCCGTGAGCAGGGATGTTGGGATGAGCCCTGGGATCCTGCACTCGCTGCATCCCCAAGGATCCTGAAGGGCAGCACGAGAAACCCTATCCCCAAACGGGAGCAAAGAAACAGAGGGAACCCCTGGGAATGGGCTGGGGCTGCCCCTGCCTGCGCGCAGGCCACTTATCCAGCCGGGAAGAAGGATGCGGGAAGAAGCTGCTCCCATGGAGCTCTACTGCAGCGCTGGCCACAGGGGCAGGAGGGGGAATAAAGGGGGAAAAAACCCAAAAAAGCGCTGCTCGTTGCACAGCCCAAATTCAGAGTCCGTGGGTAAGAGAACAAACATCTCCTGCATTAAGGTATTTCCTGCACTAATTTTCACTTTAAAATAAAAAATCCAAGAAACMCAGATGCTAAAACATGCCCATGTGGACAAGCCTGGAATAATGCGGACCGATTGCTTCAAAAGGGCAGCGCGATGCTAGCTCGGAATTTCGGGCCCCCCGAGGCGTTTTGGGCACTAAGCACCTCGCTGGGAGCTGCGTTTTCCCGCTGGGAAGCGCCAGGAAACAGGGAACAGGAGCAGGATGCAGGGCAGGACACGGTCCGCGAGGGGCTCACGAGCTGCCCCGACTGCTCCAAAGGGAGGATTTCTCCGGAGCTTCGGGTTTGTTCTCTGCACAGTATAAACACCCAGCACACACCCGTGCACGCACACGCACACGCGCCCCGTGCCGCCCCTTCACCTTGAACACACAAATACTGCAAAGTGGCAAATAAGAAAAATAAAAAGCGACCTTTGTTTTTCTCCTCGGTTTTGGCAACTTTAAAAAATGGTTAAGAACAATGCGGCATTGGTCCCTAAATCTAGAAAAAGATATTTGGGCACAACACTGAAAGTCAGAATGGGTTTGTTTTCAAGATTTCATAACATCTGGAAAAAAAAAAAACTGTAAAAGTAGCACTTTTTGACTTGTTTGACACAGTCACATAATTCATTAAAACATCAGGAAAAAAAAAATCTTTTCACTAAAAAGCTTGACTTTTAATCATCGGCTTTCGATGTTGACGTGGATTTGGGAGAGGAGGGAAGCTGGCGCCGGGATGCTGCTCGCTGCGGCSGCGGCCGCGCCGCTCACTCCGCGATCTTGGCCACCTGCTGCTCRAGCCTGGCAATGCGCTCGTCCTGACTGCTGATCGTGTCTTTTATAGATTTCAGCTCTTGCAAAATCTCGTCCAATTTGGCTTCGTTTTGCTGCAACGAGAGACAAGGGGCGCGTTGGGGAGGAGGGCCGGCGAGGTCGCTTCTGAGGAGCGGAGCTGTCAAAGCAAGGGGCTTGTCCAAGCGGCATTCCCGCAATTTGGAGATGTGGGAAAAGGGGCTTTTCCGGGCGCATTCCCGCAATTTGGAGATGTGGAAAAGCAAGGGGCTTGTCCAAGCGGCATTCCCGCAATTTGGAGATGTGGGAATGCACATGTTAGCCAGCACCCGACGGCTGCAGCCCCGGGCATGGGCTTCTCTACAGCCTTTTTTCTAGGCCTGCACAGCGCAAGGTCAGTTTGTCCCACGCTTTGCGCTGGGTTTTAGGCAAATACAGGTGCAGAGCTCAAGCTCTCATGCTGCTYTCTAGCTCCTATAAAGCACAACACCCATTCCCTGTAGGGATGAGCAAGAGCTGGACGTTTATACGAACTGTTTGGGGCACAAACCCTTCTCTGCAGGCAGRCCCCGGCTCAGTGAAGGCGAGTGTTGGGCCGAAACAACAAGTTTTCCTTCCTGTCAAAATTCACCCCAGCCTTCAAGAGCTGCAGGGAAGCTCGTGTGCACGGCCTGTCTGCAATGCCACCACTTGTGTCACCCGGGCTCCAAGCCACCCACCTGCACCCGGTTCCTTGCTGCTAGGACACATCCTCTGAGCTTTGCTAAAACCGCTTCCCAACACAAAGCCCGGGCCATCAAGGCCCAGGCAGCCATTCCCCAAAGCCCGTGAACTCCACTCACTGCGTTTGAGGCGTCGGCTGCTTTCTTTGGAGCGTTAATGAGATCGCTTTTCTTGTTCGCTGCAGGCTTGTTGTCCAGGATGTTCTTCTTGACCACCTTGAGATCCCTGTTCTTGCCTGGGATGTAGCCGTGTTTCAAGGAGATGAGGAGGGGGTCGGCGTTCTTCCCCTCAAACCACTCCTCGGCCTCCAGGGCTGCCTCGGGGCCGGCTGTGTCGGGGTACAGGTCGTCCTGGAAAAGGTCCGACTAGAAGCCAGAAGAAACGCACGGGTCAGGAGCTTGGGAGGTGGCAGCTACCGAGCGGCACGCGGAGCGGGCGGCGCTCACCTTTCGCGGCACCGTCATGATGATGGGCTCGCATTTCCTCTCGTGCAGCTTGAAGAACCTTCCAAAGGAGACAAGGGTGGCTCAGGAGAGGGCACGAGCGGGGTGGGAGGCGCGGGCGGCCGCGGTCCTGCTGCTCCCGCGCGCGCTGAGGAGCGCCGGGCGGGCTGCGCCGGGGCTCGCGGGGCCCCCGGGGAGCTACCTGTGAGYGCGCAGGGCTCCCCTCTTAGGGACGGGGTGACTTGGGTGGCTTCGGGGAGCGTCGCACGGTGGCGGGAGGGGTGGCAAGAGGCGCAGCCCGCGCCGGGACTGTGGAGACAACACACGGGTAACACGCAAGCCGCGTCCTGCTCCCTGCGCCCGGCGGCTCCGCTCAGCCTCTCCTTGAGCCAGGGCCACCAAAGCCACSGGCGGCGCTCAGGACACGGCCCCGCGGGCCCTGCTCCCTCTGGGGGCTCCGCTCGCCTGAAGAATGGAAGGGGCATCGAGAGGCTCCATGGACAAGGCCCAGCGCTCCTGGCCACGGGAGGACAAGCCGGGCGCGACACGGACCCGCCTTCCTGAGGTGCCGTCTCATTTTGCCCTGTTTGCAGTAGCAATTTGAAATGGTGCCCGCAGGCCGCCCGCTGCTTCCACAACTATCCTCTAAATCCCTCCAAGTTTCTGGTCTCCCTGCCAATGGGGATCATTTCCAGCAGACTTGCAAACCAGTTTAGCACCAGTCCCGCTGCTAACGCAGGCTGTGGCTGACCCGACCCCGCGGGCAGCTTGCTCTGCTGGACACCACTCCTTCATTTCGGACCCAGGCGAGACCCCAGCAGCTCTCAGGGCTTTCTCACAGAACCATTACRGCTGGAAAAGCCCTTCAAGGCCATCGAGCCCAACTAGGCTCTGCCTAGAAGCAGCGTCACTGGTGTCACAGGCCCTACACCCACTACAGGAGCAATGGGGTGGGTGGCACAGCACGCTTTGCTCCAGCAGCGTCTCCAAACTCCACGGCATGGATTTACCAGCCAGGAGCCATCCTCACCTCGTGCCACGCGCCTCGCTTCCCTAGGGAAACCTGGCCGTGGACGAGCTGGGTGGACCTGGCGTGTTCTGGTGGCAAGAAGAGGACTTTGTGTCCCCGAACGGCTGAGCTCGCGCGCCCAGCACCACGGCGGCCTCGCGCAGCTCCCTCCTTACCTGGCAATCTCGCACTTGTTCACGTCCAGGCCCCGCTTTGGCATGAACCCCATCCCTCTCTGCGGCTCTTTGCTGCTGAAGGTGTTGAGGTAGTGAACGTAGGGCGACTCGTCCGTGATCTCGAAGTAGCGAATGCTGCTGTCGCCCTGCGAGGAGGACAGGAAGCATCATCCCACGTGAGGAAGAGAAGAGGGATCATCCCAGGCAAGAAAGGGAAGAGGGATCATCCCAGG